AATATCTGATCTTGTGATTGTTGGATACAATAAGCATTCAACCAAACTTCTATAGATCTTTTCATCAGATTTCTTACCACCATTTTCATCAGTTTTGAGTTTTCTACCAAGGGAATAGTTACTGGTTTGCAATTCTCCATATTGAATTTCTTCAAGACTTCCTTAGCATACCTCCTTTGGTAAACAAAATTTTCCTTCTTGTGATTTATTTATCTCCGTTCCTAGAAAATATTACATTTTCCCTAAATCAATCATGTCAAATGCCTTCTTAAATTCTCCTTTCACACTTCCAATTAATGCCTGATTGCTGCCAATTATCAAAAGGTCATCAACATACAAGGAGATGATAATCATTTCTTCCTCCCCTTGCTTTATATAGAGTGTTTGTTCATTAACACTTTTGATAAAACCAAGGCTGCCCAAGTGATCATCAATTCTATTGTACTAGGCCCTTGGAGCCTGCTTCAAACCATACAAAGCCTTCTTCAACAAATGCACTGTATCTTCTTCTCAGTTACAAAGAAACCTTCTGGTTGTTCAATGAAAATTTCCTCATTTAAGTGTCCATTTAGGCAGCATGGTTTAACATCCAATTGATGTATTTTCCATCTCTTTGAGCAGCTATAGCAAACAATAATCTGATTGTTTCATACCTGCCCATTGGAGCAAATGTATCTGTGAAATCAATACCATATTGTTGAGCATAACCTTTCACAACCAACCTTGCTTTGATTTTGTTGATTGAACCATCAAAATTCAGTTTGGTTTTGTACACCCATTTAACTCCAATCACATTCTTATCCTTCGATCTATCAACCAACACCCAAGTTTCATTCTTTTCAATCATACTTAGCTCCTCCTTCATTGCAGCCATCCAACCTTGTGAATTTACTACTTCATTGAAGTTTGAAGGCTCCAATACGGTTGAATTGCATCTGGGATACACATCAGCAAGACCTTGCTTTCAACACAACATTTTCAGGGTTAGAATCACTATTAGATTCTGGTTCATCCTCAATGATAAAGGTATCATTTTCTTGTAGAACCAACCTTTGAATTTGTAACTTATTCAAGGTACTTGATTCCCAATTTTATGAAGACTCCTCAACTTTAATATCCCTTCTGGACGACATCTTTTTGGTTTGTTGATTATAGACTCTATACCTTTTAGCATTGCCACAATATCTAACCAAAACACCAATTTCTGCCTTTTGATTTAGCTTATCTCTTTTTCATCAGGAATGTGAGTGTAACATGTGTTTCCAAATACTTTCAAGTGTGAACATCTAGCTTAACTCCATACTAGGCTTTAAAAGGAATTATTTTATCCAAGACTTTTGTAGGTAACTTGTTCAGAAGGTATATTGCTCTATCTACAACTTCAATGCAAAAAAATTTTAGTACATTTTTCTCAATCATCAAACACCTAACTATCTCTATTACTATCACGTTTTTCCTTTCACACACTCCATTTTGTTGAGAAGAATAGGAAATTGTCAACTGATATTTGATCCCAATAGCATCACAAAATTTGTCAAACAGATCACATCTATATTTAGTCCCATTGTCAGTTCTGATGGCCTTGATTTTGCAATCGCTTTCATTTTCCACCAGACTTTTAAACTTTTGAGATACAGCTTTTAAACTTTTGAGATACAGCTTCTACTTCAGATTTCATTTTTAGAAAGTAAACCCAGCACATCCTTGTCAAATTATCAATAAAGAGAACAGAATATATGCTGCCATTCAGAGTAAGTGTTCTCATTGGACCACATACATCTAAATGAATTAATTCCAACTTATTTGAAGCTCTTCTTGACTGGTTTTTAGGAAATGGAAGTCTTGTTTGCTTCTCTCGTTGACAAACATCACATACACAGGCATCATCATATATGTCTGATAAATTTTCAACTGGTTCTAGTTTATGCAAATGCCTGAGTGAAGTGAAATTTGCATGACCAAATCACTTGTACCAAAGTGTAGACCCACAATAGTACTAGGGAATGCATAAGTGGTCATATTTTTCCATTCTAAAGGAAAGCTTCTTTATTTCATCTCAACTGTCATCAACTCATTTTCATTTACATCCAATATAGTGCAACCACTATCTTTGAATATCAAGGTATACTTTTTTTCAATCAATTGGCCTACACTAACTAAATTCCTGTCTATATCAGGCACCAAAAATACATCAGAAATGTGTTTAGTACCTGTTGGAGTTTACACAGCAATCACACCAATTCCTTCCACTTTTACATATTCTCCATTGCCAACCTTTACTTTTGATTTGTATGTTCTATTTAGTTCAACAAAGATGTTGGAATTTGAAGTCATATGGTGTTGCATCCACTATCTAGCAACCAAGTTCCAACGCTACTGTACATTTTCTAATTTGCAGCGGTGAATAAATACTCCTCCTACAGTTGTTGTTGCTGATTTTCAGCAACCTAAGATTGTTGTTGTAATTGTATCTCTTTCAACTTTTTACAAACCTTTTGAACATGCACAAATTGCTTACAAGCCTTGCATTGAACTCCTGGTCATACCAGCACAACTTTGTAGAATGACCAAAATTTTTTCATTGAGGGCAAGGAGGATAACTATCACTTTTACTAGCACTTTTATTGTTTTCAAACTTCTTCTTCTTAGGTTATTGCTTTTTCACACCAAAGCTTGTTTGAGTTTTATGTTTTCCTTTGACAAATAAAGCTCCTTCAACTTGTTGATCACCCTCCTCTATTCAGTAGCTTGGAGTGCATTAACAAGTTCACACAAGGTTATGATGGACAAGTCTCTTGAGTCTTCAAGAGGAGATCTTTGCCTAAAATTTTTCAAGCAAACTGATCAAAACCTTTTCCAAAACTCCCTTATTAGGTAGATATCCCCCAACAACCTTATTTGATTTACCACTTTCATCAGCCTGTTAGAAAAATCCTTAACCATTTCTAATTATTTCATCTTCAAGGTTTCATACTCCCTTCTAAGATTTGGAACTTGCATCTGCCTTGTTCTTTCATTACCTCGAAACTCCTCTTTTAATATGTTCCAGGCTTCCTAGTCTCACAAGTAATAATTTTGGTAAAGATTGCATCTGAAATGGCAGATTGAATGCAAGGAAGGGCTCTAAAATTCTTTGCAACTTCCTCATTATGCTGCTTCAGCTGAGCAATAATACAATTTGCTCTGAGAGGTGGTGGTTTAGTTCCTATTTCTGTGATTTCCGACAAATCATAAGCCTTCATTTTTGCAGCCCAAAAATCATAATTTTCTTCTGTAAACACAAAGGTAATGGTGCTAAAAAACCACTTGAAACCATCACACACACTCACAAATCACTAAGTTGTTTTGATAAAAGGTTCCTTGTCTTCTCTCCTAATCCTGTCTCACAACCCTTGCAACTACCTCTAAGATCAGGTGGCTCTGATACCACTAATAGATATATAAGTACAAAGAGGAAGAAAAACTTAACTTGCTATGTTAAAACCATACACGGCTGACATCTTATATGAATTACAAAAGGATTCAAACATACTTTAGTCAACAAGTTTTCACGTACTATAACCTTACCTGTTGACAGCATCCTTACCTTACACATGACCATACTATGCTAGATTTTTTAATCACAGAAAGACCATAACTTAGACTTGAATTAGGTACAACAAAATACTAGATATTTTATAACAAAACTGTCAATCCAATACCAATTTTCTTTTTTTTTTTTAATCCAGTTTATATCTTGACTGTAACATTATCCCATAGGGCTGAAGTTTCTCGTCTCTTCTCTCAGCATCTCCAATACATTTTTTTCCATCTCAATGTCAAATATTGGTGTCAGAGTTTTCAACCAAATCCCATCCGTACTGGTTTCAAACCGAACCTTATTGTTAGCTCACAAATCCTTGAATTAGCCTCTTTACTTTATTGCTTCCTTCCTGCTTCTTTTGACGGTTGTATTTCCACCTTTATTTTGCTTTTTTTTTTTTACCGTACTTGGTATTCACTTGGAATCAACGAGGATTATTCACATTTTCGTCTTGATTCATGTTGCATCACTTAATAGTTTCTTTAGATGCACATATGTTTCAACATTCAACATCTCCTCTGGAAATAGAGAATATAAAGAATATTTTTATTCCTCCATTATTCTTGCACATGCATAGACAACAATGGTAATTGAGATGTGGAGGAGCATTCCCACATCATTTCTCTCAAAGTATGATTCTTCTGTGTATGTCGTAACATATATTTCTTACATAACATTTACATAACTTCAGGGGCAGAGCTACTATGGACTTGGTGAGGGCTATTACCTATCATTTACATAACTAACAACCTACATCCCAAATAAGGATAAGTACTCTGGCATAGCAGCTTCACCCCCACTCCGAACAAGTTGGGAGAAAAAAAAAAAAAAAAAAAAAAAAAAAGAAAAAAAATGCCAAAAAAAAATTTTTTTTTTC